CGCCTGTCAGACATAATGGAATCGCCTCCTTCAAAATATTTACCCTTTTCTGTAACTAAGGGGGATCTTTCAATGATTTGTCGATCAGATGAGCTTCCACCATAACTGTCACTAATATAGGACACGAGCCCTTTTGGGGTAATTCCAATCATGGTTTTTAGCGTATTTTTGTTTTTATAAGTCGAGAATGTTGCCGACTGGGACGTAACATTTGAGGGTTTCATAATAGGTACCTCGGTGGCGTCTAGTATGACTCTCGTCGACATAAACTGTCTTCCAAAATTTTTGGGCATGTACTGGAGAACATTTTCCTTCGATGGCCAGATGTCGATCTCCTTGAATTGATAGTACATAAATTTTACCCATGTATTGAATATCGACCCAACAGTACGTGGGCTAATATTAAACATAAATGAGAGCTCGAGGTCCTCTTTGGCTAATCGTAATTTAATCAGTGTGACAAAAAACTGATCTACAGGCTCTAATTTACAGTCGTTACAGGAATTTAAGTGATCCACTGCTGGTCCCAACACATTAAACACAAATTTAAAATGTTCATAATCATCGAAACCTGTATAAAAGTTTATGGCATCTGGGTTGTTATCAAATTTCTTCACTGACATACGTGTATCGCTGTCGCTTATAAGTTCACACTGAACATGCTGACTTGCAAAGCGTTCTTCCTCTATAGTCTCCAAGTCGACTCCATCATTCTCATTTGTAGATATTTGTACCTCATCTCCGACATTTTCAATATTCATGTCAAACAGTCTACGGCGTTTGAGTACCCTCTCTTGACGATCAGTCGATTGTGACATTGATGATGGCGTCTTGAACTGGAATATGGTTGGAACAGCATCTTTCTTCAGTAGTTTCCTTTCACCTGAAAAATACAACAAAATAATATGCTATTATGGTAACAGTAAGAAAGTAAATAAGTAGGTCATGTATGTGACCTACCCGTAATGGGGAAAAAGGTTAAATAGTCACTGATTGTCATTTTTATGTATGGTGTATGCATGCATTGTCGTCAGTGACATTACAAATAATTCATTACTAGACCAAGCAGAAGTGTCTCACACACATTAGCAAGGCCTGTCCTAGTGACTAGTCCATCTGTATTACGTCGCAGGAGATCCACATTTGTAGGCTAGGCATCGAATTAGTATTAGCATTAGTATTGGCTGTATCTGTAGTAATAATATATTTACTTATTAATCCCTTGATGGGGCTTTCCCAATTTTTTTAGTTATGGTGTTGATTAGGGATTATTTGCTAGCAGCACGTTTGCAGTGCTTTAGGACAACGCTTTTTGACATTGAGTCAAGAAAGCTAATTGCAGGGGGAGTGATGTAACAGAGCGCATGCGTGATTAGTATTAAAAGTTAGTTATTTAGAAACCACCCATGCGCACGTATTATATTCATGAATGAACACGTTACACGCTTGCCAGCTAGCTAGCCGCTCAAGGTCGAGCGAGTCGTGTGTGCGCCTTAGACCACGTATGTTAAATCTGGTTGCAGTTGACAGCTATACTACGAGCAGTGTGTACGCTCCTTAAGCTGTGTATGTAGCGACACGCGCCTTGCTATCTTTGACATATATACACAAGATAGCGCGAGTAACTGTGTCGCCTTAGGACATGTATAGTTGGAAGCTTCGAGAACAAGCCGCCTTGGGTGTGACCGTCGATGGTTCCTACGTTACCATAGGAACAGCTGTCGCACGAATATGTGTATCATATATGCATGTCACCACGCTTTAATTGGCTTATGCGTGTGACACTAGTTTATGTGTTTATATTAAGTACTGCATATAATATGTATACAGGCATCTATGTATGTGTGTATACGCTGGATATGATACATATGAAGTATGATATATATGTATATTTGTATGTGTACGGATGGTATACCAAGACCAATTAGCCTGTACATTCCGTACTAATGTGTAGACATAATTAACATAGTATATGGGGGACACCAACGTAAATATAGGCATGTCTAATTAGCACAGTGTACGGTGTTGAATGTAACAGATTATATGTGTATAGGAAACACCGCCTATGCTATAACACAGTCCCTATGCTACAAGCAGGTGGCCTCCCGGCCTTCCTGTTGACTACCCCAAGAGGACGTAAAGATGGTAGATTAACGCTACAACGGATGGTAGCCAGATACCAGAAAACATTGTAATCTTGGTGTGGTCATTTACCGAGCCCTGGTAAAACAGTATTTTTTAGCACAGGGACTTGGAGAGAGACAGAAGACAGCGACCCCTAGTGTGGAATATAAGATGTAATTAGGTGACAGTTTTGACATATTGTGACACAGTAGTGTCACCTGTTGAATAGAAATGAATCCATTATGGGCACCATAACTGGTGGTGCCACCTAGAATGACGTCACGGGCACACGTCCTATATAAGTAGGAACCCGTCTCTTTTGGAACAGTAACCCTTTGCTCGTGCTACAAAGATGTGTGACCGTGTGTTCTGGTCGTAGTTCGGTACACTACGTGTGTAGTTTAGAGTGCAGAATCTACCGAGTTATGCGCTTTCTTTTTACCGTGTTTAGTGTGCATATGTAATGAGGCAACCGCTTATTTTGATATGCCGAAGATAGTCTTTTATATTGGTGGAATACTTAATTGAGGCCCACCTTTATTTTCCTGTTAAACCAAGCCTCAACGTCTCTGTCTATCTACCTATTAAGTAACTTAGTACGTCAACACCACTTCAATTCTTCATTCTATTCTATATGTTACTTCTCCTCAAGTAGTTCTTCAACTAGCGCGACGGACCTGCGACTACATGAACAAAACACAAACGCTAAGGCTAACGGCACGACCAGTATCAATATACGATCCCGAGATTCGAAGCATAGATTTCAATATCTACATAAAGGGCGAAAATCTGTTTTCTGTCTGCTTCAGTCCGGTCTATCTTCTCGCTCCTCCCCCTGCACAGGTCAAACCCCATACACATAATATATTCTTCAATCAGGCATACAATGGCTCTAAACAGAGGAATTGCTCGACCTGTCATTGCAATGCATGAATAAAAAATACAATTCGTTCCACGTTTTCGTTTCACCGCTCATAAGCCGTGCACCTATAGAGTAATTAAGATATTATATACGTATATATACTATAATACTAAATAATCTATTTATAATATAAATAGTATATATATATTATTTATTATAATAAGTATATAATTATATAGTATAATTATACTAATTAAGTACTATTGAGTATAGTTAGTGCGACTAAGATTAAGGCTAACAAAATGTCACATGATGTGTCTATAATAGCTAGATCCGACTGTCAGTTGCAGATTGGCATGAGTGCAAAATACAATTCGAGGTTTCGTTTCACCGGTCATACGCGGTGAAACTATGGGCAGTAATTATTATATTAATAGTAATTATATAAATAGTATTAATCACCTTACTAATGAGTATTAGTAGGACCTAAACTTTAAGCGCTAACACATGTCACAGAATGTGTCTATATGAATGTGAGACGCAGTGTATCAGCATGACCGCGACAACCATTTATAGGCCAAAAAATCAGAATAACAATACAAAAACTACACAAATTTCATATTAAAATTACTTTCATTATTTTCCTAAATGTCCAGCGTGGTCAGTGCTATATGCCCCTAGCTAATCTTAATGCGCAATCCATCAATACATGTCTGTTTGCATTTACCGCTATTTATGACCGACAACCATTTTAGGCCAAAGAACAAATTTAAGCATTTATTCTCTTTATTTACATATTATTATTTCATATTTAGTTCATTTTTTTTTACATTCATTTAGGCAAAAAACGGACAACACAACACAACATACCATTCCCCCCCACAAAATATAATGCCAGGGCAGAAAACTTAACAGCAAATCCCAGCGCTCCGAATATACATGCAGCAGGCAGCAAAGTTCATTCTATGCGCAGCAGAAAAAAAAACATATGGGAATTCCTAAGCGTCAACTAATAGTGCAGGCTTAAAATTCAGGCAATCGCATGAAATGCACGAAACCAAGCATAGCAGAAAACCGCATGAAATAGCAAAAAGCAGTAAACGCCCAAAAAATCCCGGGCCATCGCCGGTAGCCCAGCTAGTATTAATATACACAAACAACCCATCGCAACGCAACGCAAAAAACGACACCCCTACCACACACACGCATCAACACACCACAACATACACACACACACACACACACACACACCACACACACACACACAATCACACACACACACCACTACAACAACACACACACACACCACAATAATATATATATAATATTATATATAATATAGGGATAAATATAAGGGGGCAAGAGAGGGGGAGTGGAAGAGAGAGGAGGGGGCAGCGAGAGCGAGCGAGGCGCAAGCGGCCAAAAGAGACAAGCACCAATATAGCTTTTAACATTCTCCTCCTACGCTAAGCCAAGTGTTTATCGTCATACATACTAATATCTGTTATGGGGGTTTCCTATGTTACACGTGTACGTACTTGCATGTTGGCGGACAGTCACAGACAAGCGCATGCAGTCGTTGCGTTGCAGATAACATGCTTTCTGAAATAAAAGAGCTGATTTTAGTACGACTAGTACTGATCATCATAATAGATAGACAAACGATACGAAGGGAGGAATCATAAATAAACATAGGGAAGGTGTGGGAAAGAAAAGGAAAGCGAGAAGGAGAGAGAAAAAGTGAAAGAAAGAGAGAGGGGGACATTGAGAGTGGCAGTGAGCGTGATAACGTTTGAGGGAGAGAGATAGTTACCGTTTGTACTTGCGTACGTGCGTGCGTACATGCACGCGTGCGCGCACGTGTGGTGCTCGCGCGCGCATGTGCACGCGTGCGCGCGCACACATGCATGTAGGCGGCTGTATGCAAGCTGGAAAAACAGATGTATTTACCGGCAGTCACGCACACCGGGTACCTATCCACCGCTTCATCATATGCATAGCTGGAATCGATGCATCCAACGTCCTTCACCATCGTCTCGATAGCACACGTCTCCAAACAAGCCTGCAAAACAAGCAGCGATATACGACACACGTAGCCGTGCACAACCTATATGTAATCGTAGAAGGGGCATATATGAATGATTTACACAGACGCGCATGCACGCACGCACGCACGCACGCACACACACACGAACGCACGCACGCACGCAGACAGACAGATAGACAGATAGCTAAATAGGTGTATGGATAGATGAATGAATAGATGGATGGACGGACGGGATATATATATATATATATATATATATATAGTATATAGGAATATAGTATAATATAATATATAGATAGATAGATAGATAGATAGATAGATGAAGATAGATAGATAGATAGATAGCATAAGATAGATAGATAGATAGATAGATAGATAGATAGATAGATAGATAGATAGATAGATAGATAGATAGATAGATAGATAGATAGATAGATAGATAGATAGATAGATAGATATACCATGAAGTAGCACGATGTTACAGATACGTGACTCGGTGAGTTTCATTCTAACCTCACCTGGCGTGTGTAGATGCTGTTATGGAAGATACTTGGTCGCCCATCCGTGCAGTTTCCCCAAGGAGCTTTCATACGCTGCATTTCCGCCTACAAGTTAAATATACACGCGTGAAAAGCGCGCGAAATGATCAGGTTGAAAACCAACACGGACAGACCGTGAGACGGCGGATGCTAGTATATCTATTTTTTAGTGGCAAATGAAAGACTGAAACCCCCCACTTAAGAACGTGGAATGGGCACATTCCTGAAATGGCCTATCCGACTGTTACTGTGTTGTGCACATTATGCTAGGTTTACATTATGTTCCCGGCGGCCACGGCAGCCCCGTTTGCCCGAAACGTAGTGCGCCGTGGGATTTTGGCCATTTTTTTATCTGTATTCAAGTTTTGTTAGGTCTTGCCAAGTTTTCTCACGGTCTATCACGGTATCCGTGACGAGCCGTGGGGGGGGAAGGGATCCAACGGGGGAGGGGGAAAAGAGGCTCAAAGGCGCACTACGGTTCGGCTCGCGGTCTACCACGGATGCCAGTACGTTCTATCCGACCCGTCACGTTCTGATGGGGGTCCTCACGTTTCTCACGTTCTGATCCAGGTTCTGACACGTTTTACGTTTCTGTCTAGCTTCTCTGAACGTACCCGCTTTGGAGCACGTTCTGCCCACGGTATAAAAAGAAGGCCTCCCAAGCAATAGCAATAGCAATGTGTCGTCGATTGCTCAGACTCGAATGAAGCTCCCCTGCCTGGCACGGCTTTTATATACTCCCACCCAGACCGCGCGCGCCGTGTCAGACCGTAGTAGAACGCAACGCGCCGTAGCGCGCCGGGCCCGTAAACCGTCACACGTCGAGACGCGCCGTGATTGAACGCGACGAAACGGCTACCATACACCCTAGCTTGCCGTGAGAACCGTGACAAAACGTGGCAAAACGGGACAAAACGCGCAGCAACCGTGAAGCAACCGTGATAAAACGCGCACTAAACGCGGCAGAACGTGACAAAACTTGAAAGGACCGTGAGATGCCGGGGAATACACATGCTTCCCGTCCCACTACGGACCGCCTCCAAGTTTTGTTACGGCCTATTACGTACTGTCCCGTTTTGTTGCGTTTACCCCGTTTTACTACGGCCTACTAGGTTTCACATCCGCACCGTGACTGCCGTGGCAAATCTTTTGACAGTTTAAAAATCTTGGCCGCGGCATCCACGGCAATCACGCCTGTCACGTTTGCCCATTCCCCCCCCGCGTTGTCTCACGTCCATCCCGTTTTGTCCACGGTGGCCTGAAACGTGATTGCCGTGGCCGCCGGGAACATAATGTCAACCTAATGTAAGCGGGCAAATCCTACACGCTATGAGAAGTGATGGCGATGCGGGAACGCAGTCAGGGGAGATGTATAAAACAGAGACGCGGAGAGTCAGCGGTCGACACGGAGATCAAGAGAGCCTGTGACTCGAGATGGGCGCGGCTAGCTAGAAGCCGCAGTCACAAAGCCACAAGTTCTTGCGGATTGTGACAAGCCGCTAGACACGACCAGATGACCCTAATGATATCGAGGCGGGCCAGAATCGGACTATGGATCCGAGCCAAGTGCGAAAACGCTTATACCCCACCGTATTCGGTAGAGTAATGTAGCAGTTGTAATACTCACCTCGCCGTATTTAGTATGGCCGATTGGCCGGAAAAGGGAGCTAAAATAAGGACGGTGACGTAGGGGAGGAAACGCCGTATAAATAGCGGAAGCCGCCGCGCTTCTAGAGGCTCTTGGTACAAGCCACCCGCGGAGAAAGGTGTAGTGTGTAGTAACCGCTCTTGCTTTCGGTAGTGCACGGATACCTCATGTATTGTATTAGAGATTGAGTAAACACTAGTGAACGTTACTCTTGTCTTGTCTTATCTCTCTATCAATCTATTACAGACCTTCTACTATAGTAGTGCGAATAACACACCTACATTTGGTGCCGTGACCAGGTGATTAGCATTAGTTTAGTATTTCGATAAATTTAGGTACGGAACACACGTGCACACACACGCACGCAAGCACACACACACGCACGCACGCACGCATACGTGCACGCATTCACACACACGTACGCACGCACACGCGCGCACGCACGCACGCACGCACGTACACACGCACGCACGCATGCACACACGCACGCACGCACGCATACGTGCACGCATTCACACACACACACGCACGCACACGCGCGCACGCACGCACGCACGTACACACGCACGCACGCACACATGCATGCACACACGCATGCACACACACGCACGCACACACGCACACGTGCACGCACGCACGCACGCATGCACACACGCACGCACACACGAACGCACGCACGCACGCACGCACACATGCACGCACACGTGCCGTTTTCAGTCCAATAAAAGTTTCCGTTCCGCTTCCAATGTCGATGCCGTCATGCCCTGCGAATGACGCACTTCCGGGAGCATGTATGGTCAGGGTGACACCGGCCGCTGGTGCTAGCTGCCCGATGTACTGCTGACCGTTCACAAACAACAGCAGCGAGAGTCCTGAAACATTGTGCACCGGGTGACGCGGTTGCCACGGCGACACGGCTTCTGATATAACGGGCAATTTTGTCTCGTATCTATATATATATTCCCCCGTCTTTTTTATGGAGACGGATAAACGGGCGCATCACTTAAACAACAGTCTTCCATGAATAATTCGCAGACAAGCTGTTTCGTGTTCATCGCTTGATCGGGACCACTGCATTTTCGGGACATTCGGCACATTTTCACGAACCTTTCCCGATAGAGCGGGAACGAATGTAACACCGGTACTAGTCATATTCATTTAAGCTCGATACTTTTGCGAACTAGGATTGATACTATAAGTAGGACCAGGGAAAGGGAGGGGGTGCGGCGAGCGGACGAGAGAAGAGAATGGGGGAGGGGGAGGGGACGAGAGAAGAGAATGGGGGAGAGGGGAGTGGGCGATGAGAAAGAGGAAAGCGGTAAGACTAGTGCAGGTAGAGGACTGACTGCTGTTAGATACCAGTGGAGCGTCCAGTGTGAGTAATCATGGTCCGTCTGCCCCGAAACTTGGTCATCGTGTAGCAGTTGCCAAACGCCGGGCTGAAGGATCGCTGAAAATCACTGCAAAACGTTGCAAGAATCAGATTTGTTCTCCGCGTTTACACTATTACAATACTATAGGCCATATCCACGATCCGAATTGTTTGCTTCATTTACACCACTACGCGAGATTTTATTCACGATACGAATTTGTTTGTTATCATTTACACTATTACAATATAAGGTTTTATTCACGATAAGAATTTCCTTGCTTCATTTTCACTACGAAAGTGGTTTCATTATCAACAATAAAGAAACATGAATTCAGTTATTATCTACATCAAAACAGATTGTTATTTCGTTTTACATCATTTCATTCAAAGCATCTATTTCGCTTATCTAGATATATTATCAAAATATGTATTAATAATAACAGGAGTGAATAATAATAGATCTATAATCTACTATTATTCACTTCTGATAATAATATATGTCATACATGTAATATAATTTCGCATTATCGAACGATGTATTAATCATTAAACAAAATAAGTTATTATGCTCCATATTAAAACCGTCTTCACTCTGATTAGTTTCACCTATAGCTACCTGTTGACGCCGGGGGGCCGGTTACAGGGCTCGCCATTGAAGCTGCACGTCAACACGAGGTCGGTCAAATTCTGCCCAAACTCATGTCTCCTCTTCAGATTATCCGGGGAGCTGTAGAAGTTGCCGATGAAATTGCGGAATCTATCGCCGCTCGTTCCGTAATCGCCAATCTCGTCAAAGTCACGGTCTTGTTCGTCCTCTACCTGAATATATACAATTCCAATGAAATAAAATGTCCTCAATAGAATGTCCNGTGTGGCGTTGATGTGTGTGCCATGTACGATGCCACGTGTGCGTGCGTAGGTGTGTGCGTGCGGGCGTGCGTGCGTGCGGTTGTTCATTGTGGTTTACGTGGGTCGTGCGCGTGTTGCGTGCAATGTGTGTGTGTGTGTGTGTGTGTGTGTGTGTGTGTGTGTGTACGTGTGTGCATGTACGTATGCGCACGTGTGCGTGCGTGTGTGTGTGCGTGCGGGCGTGCGTGCGTGCGTGTTCATGTGGGTTTACGTGGGTGTGCGTGCGTGTGCGCGCGTGCGTGTGCATGTGGGTTTACGTTGGTGTGCGTGCGTGTGTGCGTGCGTGTGCATGTGGGTTTACGTGGGTATGCGTGCGTGTGTGTGTGTGTATGCGTGCGTGTGTATGTACGTGTGTACACACACACACACACACACACACACATGCACGCACACACGCACGCACACCCACGTAAACCCACATGCACACGCACGCACACACACACGCACAGACGCACGCACACCCACGTAAACCCACATGAACACGCACGCATGCACGCACGCACGCACGGGGGTTCGTATGACCGCCGTTATTTGTTCTGGTGTGCGGTGTGTATATATATATGTGTGTGTGTGTGTGTGTGTGTGTGTGTGTGTGTGTGTGTGTGCGTGCGTGCGTGCGTGTTGGTGCGGTCCCGCAGCTGATCAATGAGAAACGGGTTCTTATTGCACACGGTCACGTACGGCATCTCCCGACCGACCCCCGACTCGACGCTGAGCGACACCTTCGTCTGCCAGCGCGTGTACTTATGCACTAGCGTAGCAGTGGTGTAGATGATAAAGCCGAGCGAGCCGACGACGAGGGAGAGCCAGAGCAGACGCAGCGGGCCGGGTTTAGAGATGGCGACGTGCTTGATGCCGTGAGCGCTCGTCTGCTCAGCGAAGACAGACGCCAGCCGCTGATGCGACTCTGCGTCTGTGCTCGGCTGCTTCATGCTGTCGTCGTCGTCGTCGTCGTCGTCCTCTAATTTTTATTCGTCTTCGTCGCCGTCGTCGTCTTTGTCGTCGTCGTGGTGGTCGTCGTCGTGGTGGTCGTTGTCGTTGTCGTAGTCGCCGCCGTCGTCGTCGTCTTTGTCGTCGTCGTTTTCTGCTAGAGTCGGAGCTACTGTCTAGT